TTTGGGCCTTAGAAGTTTTTAATGTTTTAATATCAACTTGTGCCGATATTTCTTCTGATAACATGGGTGATTTTAATAAAATCATTATGATTCTACAGATTGAAAACTGTGTTGACATTCCATATATGCAATGCAGAAGGAGCTTGCATTTGGAGCATGATATTTTAAACCTACTTGAAATGGCTACACTTCAAATACAACTATCTCTTTGCCTTTCGAAAGTTGTGAAGAGTGCTTTATCAGTGCAAGTTCTTTCCTTTTCTTTATACTTATTATACCAACCTTTTATAATATGAAATTATAAAAAGGAGATTGGATTAGAAAATTACCAGCTGTCATCAATTCTTTGTGTTTTTAACTTGGGGCTAATATTTTAGTTTATTTTTTAGTTTGTTTTATTCTTCAAAATTTGGGCAGAGTATTTTGTGTGTCTGCTGATGATGTTTTTTTCCAATAGATAAATTAGTAGTACTGTGTCATATTATTACTTGAAGTGAAATTTTTATTCTTTAAAGCCTGTGTTTCACTTTGCACATGCAGAAAGCTCCGTGAAACACCCTGCCAGTAAAAAAAAAACATGGTTTTGCTCGAATAAGCACAATAGATTTGAGTGAGTAGGACAGAATGACACCACTGGCAGAATTGTTAGAGATACTGTGCAGGTGTGACATGCACATGCAAACTGAGACCATTTTGGGTAGCGTCTCCGTGCAATTGTGCTTGTCAATGAGGAGTTCAGAGCTCTCCAGTCATAGCTGGTTCCTGCCACAAGTTGTCTCAGTTTGGTCAGCAGCCATTAAATGAGAACATCAGTAGGAACTTCAGTATTCCCAGTACCAGATATTTTTCAAAGATCACAATTTTTGGTAAAATTTGGTAATGAAGTAGTAATATTATAGGTTTATTAAAATTCAATGTTCACCATCTCAAATAATTTAGTACCTTCAAAGTTTTGGCTTGCTTGCATTAATAAATGTAATTTTTGGCTTAACGTAAAAACAAAAAATGTTTGAGATACCATTGAATTAAGGAGTGTCAATTGAAGGGAGAATGTTAACATTTTTCTCTGGAAATGCTGCCTGATCTCAGTATTTACAACATTTTTGGTTAATATTTCAAATTTATAGCATTCATAGCAGAGTTATAATTTTTGTATTATTATCTTTTATTTGATTTTTACAAAAATTGTCATGTTGCTATCTTGGACATTTCCAAAACTCTGCCTTTGAACAGTTGTAACTTTTCATTAACTTAAATGTTTGCCAACAGCCTGGACTTGTGCATTTCTAATAAAGCTATCATCAAAATACAACATGAGATTTGAACACATGGATGGCTCAAATATCATGAAGAAGGGATTATTCCACTGGCATTGGGTCATTACAAACATTAAAGGAAATTAAGGTTAAGGAAGGAAATATTTATATGGAACTAGGCATGCAATTTAAATTGAGTTGAGGAATCCTTTGCTCCTCCTTCCCATCAGCCTTCCTTTCCCAAAAGACACATGTTGTCCAGAAAGAGTTCAGTCAGCTGCTCAAGCTGCCTTCTCTCACTCACCATCACTGCCTGCTCCTGGAGGTCCCAGCCCAACCACTTGAGTTACCTCACTTAGTGTTCTCCCTTACCATTGCCACTTGTTACTGGAAGTTCTGTTATAAGATTGTCTTCTTTCAGTGCTGTTCTGAGGAAGGGTCACCAGACCCAAAACATTAACTCTGTTTTTTTCCTTCACAGATGCAGCCAGACCTGCTGAGCTTTTCCAGCAACTTTGTTTTTGTTCTTTCAGTGCTGTATGCGTGACCGTATAGTTCACTTTTTTAAATTGTTCATTATCTTGACTCCTTCAGCGTTTGTGTTTTCTATTTCTATTTCTTCATTTAAATCAATGATGAATGAAAGACATCCAGTTATGTCCGACTGATTGTTTCTGTCTGCGTGCAGCCTCATTCAAACTCTGCATTTAGAGGTTTAGTAAAATGAACTCCTTTCATACTAAACAGATTAATCATTACCTCATTATCTTTTACATTTAGAATGTTAAACCTTGTTTCTTTAATTCTTCAATTAGTTCCTATGCTTCTCACAGACCTAAGCAATAGCTGATGCCTCATCCATGGCGACTCGACACTTGGGCTGCAGTTTCCCGTCCCGATGGCAGCTGGCAAAAATAACAGTGACAGCTGAATAAGATGGCCAGCAGGTCCCACCTCTGTTTCTAGTGGCAGTAAATCTGCACAGGGCAGAAAAGGTTGTGGAGACAGACCAAATTGCAGTCATTCAAATTTAGCTGTTTGCAGTCACAATACTTGGCCCCAAAATTAGCTGCCATGTAATTTTCCAGGACCTAGATGACTGAGAATTGTGAGCCCTCAGCAATCACTCTCAGTTGAGTGGAGACGTGTGTAGCAGAATTGTGTCGATAGGCAAGGATAGTATTTGGAAAATTTTGTGTATTATTTAAACTGGCTGAAACATCTCATTGCATGTACTGAAAAGCTGCCAAAGCTCATCATGCTGCAACCTTGGGGTGTGAAGACAATTGGTAGTCTCTGGGCAGTTGGGCATTGTACCAAGCTGCTTGGATGTTGCCCGAGCAACATGCAGTGCACCTGATTTTGGACTTGTTTCATCATGCACAGAAGCTGTTGAAGCATTGCAACAACAACATGCTAGGTGAGGAAGGATCGCCCAGCATCAGTCATGCAGAACCACAGAGGAGAAGAGACTCTACCCAGAGCACAGGATATATCAGAAAAGATGCAAGTACAGCATGTCAGAACAACAGTGCTGAAGGCAACTGTGATTCTCCAACTGGTTGCAGACATCTGTGCCCTTGTCTATGAAGAGTTCAGAGCTCTCCAGTCATAGCTGCTTCCTGCCGCAAGTTGTCAAGGTAACCATGGACTTGAATTTCTTCACCTTTAAATAATTTTGAGGTTTAGCCGTGGAGCTCTGGCATTTCACAGTTGGCTGTATGCAATTGCATCACTATGGTTACAGATTGCCTCTATGTGAAGGTTAGAGTTTAAATAAAATTTCTCACTGGGTACTTCCAGATTCTGAATGCACCTGGATCTGCTGCAATTGTCTGATTCCCACAAATAGGGGGGCATCAATGACTGCATCCATGTGATCATTAGAGCACCCAGTGATAGGTCGAGCAACTTCAATGGAAAGGTCTACCGTTATGAATATACAGCTGGACCACAATTTAAAAACTACTTTCATCTTTGTGCGTACTTTCCTGGAATCTGTCATTGACACATATATTCTCCACTCTTACGTTCCACTCATACATTTCAGGGGACAGTGACTACCCTCTAAGATGATGCCTCCTTCTCCCTGTATGTCTGCCACAGCTGCACTCCTAAGGCATTGA